CCTCTTCTTCATTCTCTCCCAGTTTGTTCCCTCCCCATCAAGTTGTATATAGTTCATTTCCAACTCTAGTGAATATCATTGCTGAATTGGCTCACCCATTGTCCCACCGTTTCTGTGCTTCCCCTTCCCCTTCCCAAACCAAACAGACTTACATACAAGATAAGGGGTACAGAAATCAAATAAAGCAACAAAAGGGAATAAACCAAAGAAAAAAGAACAAAAAGAACCACAAACAGTACAATAAAAACACCTCTTGCTTACATTTCTTGGAGTTCATTTTGATAATCATCATTTTATATGGTCATATGCATACAGTTATTGAGTCCTGGGGGCTAGGAAGGTGGCTCAGTGGTAGAGCGCTTGCCTTGTATGCATGAGGCCCTGGGTTTATTCGTCAGCACCACATAAGCAGAAAAAGCCGGAAATGGTGTTGTGGCTCAAGTGGTAGAGCGCTAGCCTTGAGCTGAAGAGCTGAGGGACAGCGCCCAGGCCCAGAGTTCAGGCCCCAGGACCAGACCCATAAAACAACAACAACAGTTATTGAGTCCTTGTGATCCTCTCCCAAGAATATCCTCCTTTAACCACACTGTGTGGATGTTTAGAATGCTGTTTAATTAATCATGTCTAAGAGTAATTATTTGTCTTTTACTCTTCATTGAGTTTTGTTGTAGACGTATAGGCACATTCTAATGATTACAAATGAGGGAAACTATGCAGCCTATGTTTCTTTGGGTCTGGCTTACTTCCCTTAGTGTAATGTTTTCTAAGTTTTCCCATTTCCTTATGAATGGGCAATATCATATTTTCTGACAGAAGTATAGAATTCCATTGTGTGTGTATATATCTATATCTCTATCTATCTATCTATCTCACCACATTTTCTTGATCTATTTGTCCATTGAGGGGAATATGAATTGATTCTATATCTTAGCTATGATAAACAATGCTGCAATGAACATGGTTGAACTGGTGGCTTTAGTATGGCCTGGTTTGTGGTGATTTGGATAAATGATGAGGAGTAGGATTGCTGGGTTATAGGGAAGCTCTATGTTTAGTATTTTGAGGAACTTCCATACTGCTTTCCAAAGTGGTTGAACAAGTTTACATTCCCACCAACACTTTAGTAGTGTTCCCTTTTGGCCACACCCCTCCAGCATGTTATTGTTAGTTTTCTTAATAATGGCCATTTTAACTGGGGTGGGTGGAATCTCAATGTTTTGAGTCACATTTCTTGTATAGCCAGAGATGTTATGTCTATTGGCCATTCTTATTTCTTCTTTGGAGAAGTCTCTCTTTAAGTCTTTAGCTCTCTTATTAATTGAGTTGTTGTTTCTTTGAGGATTTGTTTTGGGAAGGTTTAAGTTTTTGAGTTCTAAGTATATTTTTAGATATGAGCCCCTTGTGATGCACAGCTAGTAAAGATCTCCCATTTTGTGACTTTTCTATTTATCTTGCTAGCTACATCCTTTATCATGCAGAAACTCCTCAGTCTGATGCAATCCCATTTATCTAGTCTTTCTTTGATTTGTTGTGATTCTTAGGAAGTTTCAACCTGTGCCAAGGAGCCCTAGTGTTTCCTCTATCCCTCCCTGTAATATTTTCGGGGTGTCTGGCCTTACATTGAGGTTTTTGATCCATTCTGGAATTGATTCTGGATGATATATAAGGATTGAAAAACAGTTTTCTGAATGTGTATAGCCAATTCTGCCAGCACCATTTGTTAAAGAGGCTGTCTTTCTTCCAGCCTGTGTTTTTGGCTCCCATATCAAATATTAGATGGCTAGAGGTCTGTGGGTTCATTTCTGGGTCTTCTATTCTAATCCATTGGTCCTCAGTCCTGTTCTTATGCCATTACCAAGCTGGTTTTTATTACTACTGGAGCCCCATTTCTGTAGGGGACTTGGCTCATGCCTAGTGCATGGAACAGGACAGGATTAAGGGTCCTGTATCTACATGAAAATGGGGATTGCAGCCTGCAGATCTCCAGGCTGGAGCTCAGTGCTCTACTTCCTGTCTAGATTAGCTTCCTTTTTTATGTCTTAGACTTGGAGAGTTTTCCTACTTTTTTGGGGCTAGGCAACATGTTCCAATTTTAAAATCACATTTTATTTAGAATTACTCATTTGTTACAGTGACCACAGGCCTAGAATTTTTTTTAGATTTCCAAGAGGCAGATTGGTTGATTTTACTTTTAAGCAAAGGGAAGAAGAGTGAAAGAGGAATAGGTATGAACTGAATGGTTTTATTTTCTGGCTGTATTTATTATTAGAATATATCTAAACAATTTTTAATTTTTATTACTAATACATTAGCATTTTATCTGTTTCTTTTTCTTTTTGCTTTTCTTTTCTTCTGTTGGTCATGGGGCTTGAACTCTGGGCCTGGGTGCTGTCTCTCAGCTCTTCAGTTCAAAGCTAGTACTCTACCACTTGAGCCACAGCACCACTTCTGGTTTTCCTGTGGTTTATTGGAGATAAAAGTCTCACAGACTTTCCTGCCCAGTCTGGCTTTGAACCATGATCCTCAGATCTCAGCCTCCTGAGTAGCTAGGATTACAGGGGTGTGCCACCGGGCACCCAGTTTTTATCTGTTTCTTAATATGTTTATTAGGTTGCTCATAGTCCTTTCTGAAGGTGTTATATGGATACATAAATGCTTTATACCTTTAACTGGTTTTAGTGATAAGCTCATTCAAAGATTTGTAAAATCTTACTAATACTGCCAGCTATAAATATGATTTAAAAAATTTTCCCCCTTTAACTAATTTTGCTCATAAAATTGCTACTGTCTTTCTTGTGGAGGATATCCTGTGTGATGTGGCTGCAACCACATCAGTTTTCATTACTAGATCTTCAATTAGCTTGTTTCTGATTAATGATACTACTCAGGTTTTTGTTGTTACAAATTAGAATCCAACACTTAGGAAAAAAAAATCCTGAAGAAAGAGACTTACTATATAGGACTAAAAACAGACATTTTACAACTCCAGTAAGGAGAATGTGAAAAATGAAGGAATCTAAATGTATTTTATTCTCTGTCTTCACCAGAGACTGGTACAATCACTGAAATGAAGAAAATTAGAGATGTAAATACAGTGTATTTAAAATTTTCTTTGGTTCTTAGCCATGTTACTTACTGAATAGAAATGAACAAACAAATTAATAAATGAACGTCAAGCATTTTCTTCCAACTCTAATTTACTTCCACATTAGAATATATTAAATAACTATGTTTGAGTTTAAGAGTATTACCCGCAGCTACAGTAGTACCAATTCACTGCCTTTGTCTTCAAATGATTAACACTGTTGGAAAATTAATCATATTTGTAGTTTAAACCAAATCCCTACCCCAATATCCTTCACTTCTTTTTGAACATGACTAGGATGAATAGGATGAAGAGCCCATGCATGTACTGACAAATAAATACCATAAAAGGAAGAAAGGAGGGAAAAGAGAATGAACTGATTTCCCAAGAAGTCAAATTTCACAGAAAAGTTGGAAGACAAGCTTCCAAAATGTCACTCTACCAATCTCCAGTAAATGTGTATTGTGTCAAATTCATCTACAGCACCTTTTGTAGCCCTGCCAGCGATGACTACAGGGTAGGTCATCTTTCTGCCCTCCATTTATCTCCTCAGAAGGTGGGTTTGGAAGCGCAATTGTCTGGAAAATGAACTGACTCCTCAGTAGTTCCTGACTAGACTTAGGGTTTTGGTTGAGGAGAAGGAATGCAGACCTAAATGATACTACAATTGAAAGAGAGGTGGGAAAAGCTTTCTAGGGAGCCAACTTTTACACTGTAACTACTCAGGGACATTTCCAAATGTTTTCAGACAGCATGTACTTTTAGGATATGTGAGAGCACTTCCACATTTTAAGAAAATGAATTGAATGTTTCCAATGTTAGATATTAATTCAAAGGCCAGGAAATCCACATGTTTGTGAGGAAGCCACCGACTCTGTGTTTAGATATTCAAGAAAGCTTTCAGGATGAAAGATGTCAGGGAGCAAAAATGGCCTCTCAATTCTTTCAAATCAGGAGCAGATCTCCCTTCTAGGGCTGTAAAGAGGACAAGATTAGTGTGGGTGGTTAGTTAAATGTGGGTCCTCCTGTCTTGTTGTTCTTTCTCTCGCTTGGCTGTTATGACAGAAAGATGAAGGACTGTGAGCACCGCACTATGGAAAATGCACCAAGTTATGACTGTTGTTTATTACTGCCGATGCAGAATCAATAATCATCATCCATGCGACGGATGCCAGATGCAAATAATAACCAGGGTTCCTGGCATCCATCCTCTCATAACCAGATCTCCCTATCTCTCCTGGACAGCCACATGAATCACACATGTCTTTAAATTAGGAACTTGCCTGCTGCAAGTGTCTCTTGGAAGTTCCAATGTTATGACAACCCATAATTTTTCTCATGAAATGCATTTAGTTTTACTTTCATATTCCTGTATTTCATGTAAGGTATTCACCATGATGAAAGTTTCTTGGCGACTCCAAGCAAGAGTCATCCAGACTGAGGAAAGTTCTAGGATCTACACATGCTAACCCAATAATTTTTGCTTTACTTAGGATGAATAATTTTAGCTATTTCTTCCTTTCTTTATTATTATTATTATCCAGGAGAGTCTCTGATGCTTTTTTATGAAATCTTAACTCCACAATCTCCAATAAACCAGCACCCACACAGCCAGCTGGGAGAGAATGACCTGGTAGATAGTAACAGATGAGGTAACAGGCACCCCACTTTCTCCCTGAGCTAGCACAGGGCTGCTGCTGGTGGCAATGAAAACTGCAGGGGATCTGGAGGCTTGTGTCCAGTCTTGCTCTGTTGTCCAAACGGGGCACCCTCAGAGTTGTGCTCATCCAGAGGGGAACCTCTGGTTGAAACCAAGGCCTGTTTGGACCAGCTGTGCCCTTGCTGGGGGGGGGCCTGTCTAGCACTGAACATCTTTCTCTGGCTGAAGAAACCTACCAGTCATGCAAGGACTTACTGAGTGTGACCGAGTCGTTGATCTTGAAGCTGCAGAGGACTCTGTCCACGTTTCGGGCATGTCGGAAGCCATTCCCTCTCACAACAACTTGAAATGATTCTGAAATGAACAATGGTGATGGGATACGTTACTTGACCACTCACCTTACCCTTCCCAGATGGGAAACACTAGTTTCCAAACTTGTTTAACCATTTCACCCACTAGTCAAATACTCAAAAATTAGGTCACATTGTAAACCAAGAGCAACCATGTGGGTACCTTGTACTTTAATTCCTTCTTACTGGGTATTTGTAGGGAAGGGCAATTACCTCTTGCCTTGAATGCCCACCTTCTTATTTTTGCTCTGTGGGTCATCCTGGCCTACCTTCCTCCCTTTTCTCTGCCCATTCAAATTAGACCCATTTAAAAAAATCCAGACATCCTTAAAAACAACCAGAGAGGACCCCGGAGAGGAGTCCTCACTTCCTTTCCAATCATCTCATCATTTCTTGGGTCGGTTTTACATTTTGAAATCCCTTGAACAGATTTCTTTAGAGCTCAGGGTGCCTAACATGTTTTTGGAAACCACTGCCTAACAGCATTCATAGCTTGTGCTGAACAATGCAGCATGTAGTTATGTAATGTCTGGTAGTGTTCTTTTGTCTGTCTGTCTCTCTCTCCCAACTAGAAAAAGATTCCTTTAGGTTGTTGGTTGTTTGATAGGACTGCAGTTCTCCTCGGCAGGGCACACAGAAGTACTGTGTAGGTTTACACAGGAATCATACTTAGCAACAAATGTCATGTATATTAGTGGTCAACGTCAAGCATGATCTCCTTGAATTGACATTGACCCTTCAGTGTAGAGTCACTTTGAATAGAAGAGAGAAGACAGGTCAGGAAGATATACTAATTTCACACTGGTCTAATGTATTTCAATTAATATAATTATAAAGTAAAAAATCTTCATACTAGTTCCACTAATGGAAAAAACACCAACTACTTAATTAGCTAAATGCTTCACAATATTTGCTTTAGTTTTATGCACTTAATGATGAATGTTCAACTTCCTTTTGATCGTCTCTGTATACGTAACATGTAGGGCTCAGGATAATTTTATGTGGTATATAAAAACAGAGAGAGACTAAATGCCACATGAAAAGTGCAATATTTGTAAAAACAGATCTTAAGATGTAAATTGCAACTAACATGGAGACATGATTAGAGGAAAAATAAAATTAGAAAACCAGCATATGGGACTTTTGCAAAGTGAAATAAATGTCATGAGTCTGTGTTACTTTTATTCCCAAGAAACAAAGTGAGAGGCTGAGCTTGCCAAGATAATAATAACTGCTGGTTAATTGCTCCCTCATTGTGTGTCGTGTGCCCAGTGCTAAAAACTGTATGTGGTGGTATCATCTAGGCCTCTACATCAGGAGGATGCAGACAAGAAACTCATCTTAGTGATGTGAAGTAACTTTTCTAAGATCACAGAAATAATAACTTTCAGGTCGGTCAGGCACCAAAGGCAAGAAGCAAGCCAATATCCTCCTCACCGTGATGCTGAAATGATGTTTGCTGTCTTGTGACAGATGAGTAATTTAGAACTTAGGAATTGTGAGTTTTTAGGAGCTCATTTTATTTTGTTTTAATTCCAGGCAGTTTTGGCTTGTTTTGAAGAAAAGTAGAACTGGCTTGGAGGTGAAGCAAGATACTGAAATCTAAGTAAAAGAACCCAGAGGCACTACACGTACCGTAAAGAGTACAAGGAAGAACAGAATGCTTTTATAGGCATGAAGGACCCTAACAATAAAGAAACAGATTTTGACATTTTGATGACTAGTTAAGTCATTTAATTAGTGAGCAAAAAACCCCAAACAAAACAAAACAAAAATCCCTGGGACTAGTATCCCAGAGCTCAGTGCCTTAGTGTTTTAATTAAGGCAATGAGCATATATGACCACAAATTAAACAGTAAGGATTTATAGATGCATGTTGATACATCTATATATCTATGTTAATATTGATATTTATATATCAATATCGATTTCTATCTATATATCTATTCATCTATCTATTAGAAGATGCTTCTGCCAGGCATGATGCTGAACATTCTTGGTTCAATAAAGATCTTATTAAGTTGTCAAGCACTGCGAAATAATCTAATTGTATCTGCTCCGTCAGTAAAGCCTATAGAAACCTATTTCTGTTTCCAGTTTGGGTGCCAGACATAGAGACATCTGCTGTTTGACATTTTTGCTGATCTCAAGTGTTTTCTGCCTCAGTGCTGGGCCTACTTCTCTTGTTTCCTCAAAGATCAGCAAAGGGAGAAAAGACTGGAAACACAGGCTGCATGCCAAGCTCTTCCCTAACACCATGTTCTAGCATATTACCAGTTCAGCTGTTGAATCCACTATAAAAGGGGCTGTACACATGCCTGCTTGGCGCAATCTACATGATCTGGACATGGTGGAAACCACATCATGTAACCCTCTAGGCTTTGGGGATAAGAAGAAATGATGCTCTGACATGCACAGTAGAACCTGGTACAATTTGTACACATTTGGTTTCTAGAGGACCCAGACATCTGACCCAGCAGCTTGACTGGAATGTCAGTTCATTTTGCAAAGAAGTTATGTAATAAAATGTTGAATGAATCTGCCAGCCCATGAGAACCAGGGCACTCTAGAACCAGGATGTTTCATTTGAACTTCACCTGTCCACAAAGTCCTAGACCTACCTTTTAAAATGCATATAGCTCAATGTTTTTAAGCAAAATGCATGTTGGGCTAACACTCCTATATGGAGTGCTAGGAACTGTAGATGTTTAGGAAGTAGTTTCTATCTGAAAGTACTCTTTGACTTAATTTTTCACGGATGTGTATTGTTAAGGTATCTGGAGAATACCTCTCTGTAACCTCTCTGAACATTACCTTTACCATAAAATAAAATTTAATTAAAAAAACCTCACTAGTATAGAACATTAATAAAACACTATGTTAAATAAAAGAAGCCAGACGAAATGGCTATGAATTACATGATTCCATTTATATAAATTATCCAGATGAGCAAATCCATACAGATAGGAAGTAGATTAATGACAGTCAGAGTTACAGGGAGGAAGAAGTGGGAGGGACTGCTTACTGGGTATAAAGTTTCTTCTTTGGGGTGATGAAAGCCTTCTGGAATTAGATAGTGGTTATGGTTGTATAACTCTGGGCTACGTTAAAAACCATTGAAGTGTGTAGTTTAAAGGAGTAAATTTGATGGTTAGTGAATTATTGTTTAATTTAATATGAAGGGAAAAATGTCAGTAGCTTGATAAGCTGTTCTTATTCTATCCTGTCCTTTTCTTTCTTTACTTCTCTCTCTCTCTCTCTCTCTTTTAATGGGGAAGACATAGCTTTGCGATGACTTCAGTAAAGGTTATCTATCACTTACTGTGTTAGAAATGGAGAAATTTGTATACTCTCTGCTTCTCTGTTCACTAGAGACTTTTGTGTTAAATTACTGCTAGCACCATTTAGCTGGTGAGTCAGTCTGAATATTTTCTCCTCCAAGAAGCTCATTGTGGCATGTAGCATTTCTAGAATTTTACATAAATCAAACTTTTTCATGAGAAATATTGCTTCTTTTATTTATGCAGCATAATTATTTGGGCAATGATCTTAGTTATTGTGTTTATTTATTTATTTATTCATTTATTTTTGTGCTAGTCCTGGGGCTTGAAGTCAGGGTCTGAATGCTATCCTTGATCGTTTTTTGCTCAAAGGTACAGTTTTACTACTTAAACTATACCTCCACCTTCTGCTCTTTGGTAGTTAATTGGAGATAAGAGTATCAGGAGCTTTCCTATCAGGGCTGGGATTTTCCTACCAGGCTTTCTTATCCAACCAGGATCCTCAGATCTCAGCCTCCTGAGCAGCTATGATTACTAGTGAGCCATTGGCTGCTGGTAATCTTATTTATTTACTTGCTTATTTATTGTTGTTGTTAAATTGGATAAGCCATAATTTTGTGTCCAGTTCTGGGCATTTGACCTCAGGTCCTGACATTTGTTAGGCCAGTTGAGCTATATCCCTATGCTCTTTTTTGTTTTGTTTGTTTGTTTTGGTTGTTATTTTTCAGATAGGGTCTTGCACTTTGGGGCAAGGGCTGGCCTTGAACCAGGATCCTCCTCTCTATACCTTCCTAGTGGCTGTAATTACAGGTATGAACCACCATACCTGGCGTTTTGGTTGAAATGGAATCTCACTAACATTTTCCAAGCTGCTCTTGAACATTATGATCTATACCTCCCAAGTAGCTGGGATTACAAGTGTGCACCACCTTGCATGGCTTCCATTCACAGAGTGAGCTCTTACAGTTTTTGGCTACTAAAAAATATGAGGTTGTTATGAATATTATGTATAAATCATGTCTGGCCATGGATTTAATTTTCTCTTTTATCTTGATTAAAAATCTAGGGTTAGAATGGCTGGGTCAAATGGTAGATATATGTTTAATTTTAAAACAATTTCCTCAAACTGTTTCCCAAAGTGGCTGTGCTATTTTACATTCCCACTAATAGCAGAGGAGAGTGTACCTTCCAGGGTAACATAACGTTAAAGGAAAGGAAAGACACAGCAGTCCTTCTGAGGAGCTGCCTCATGGTTTTTATGCACACTTTAGCAAACCACAGTAGTGAGCACAATGAAAGTAGTCCTTAATACTGCCCAGATGTGTCTATGCAAATAATCTAATTCCCAAATGGCAAAGACGAAGCTTAAAATCATCTTCCCTTTGAGACAGCTCACCCTGTGTTATCAGGGGCAAACAGAGTAGGAATAATAAAACTGCCTCTGACATGACAAGGTGAGGAGCCAATGGTAACTTCTGCTTCTGAAAGATCTTGTAAAAGCTTCCAATGTAAAAGAGTTGGCAGGTTCCAATTAGTTCCTCCCTGGACTGCTTGTGAGCATGCTGTGAACTATTCGAGTTTGAGGCCAACTTTGTGAGACCAGAATAAACTGTGCTCAGGTACCAGGGGGACAATTTCTAGAGAGGAATTAGGCAGGGACAGTCTATGGATGGGTGGATTTCCCTCACCCTACAGAGTCTAATCTACAAAACAGTTTAACAAG